ATGAAGTCATCAAGATGAAAATATTACATTACAAAAATAATTAACAATTCTAAGAAGACGTCATGCATACTTGATCCAATGTCGACAGCGCCCATGGTTCAGATACTCCCTGCTGTCATCAACCTGATAACACACATCATCAGTACTAGTTTTGTTTCTGGTTCTTTCACTGGTCAACTCAAGAAAGGTGTGGTTCAAGCCCTACTAAAAAAGCCATCTCTAGACACTGATACATTTGGAAATTACAGACCTGTGTCTAACCTCTCGTTTCTATCAAAAACCGTTGAAAGGGTCATTGCTGCAAGATTACTATCACATTTAGGCCAGACACAGTACTGAATCACCATTGCTTAGAATAAAAAGTGATCTCCTGTGTGGAGTCAATGAACACTCAATGATTCTTTTAGTCTTATTTGTCCTGTCTGCAGCTTTTGATACAATCGATCATGAACTATTTTTATCTTTTCCCGAAGATGATGTTGATATCAGGGACTCTGCACTTAGTCTTTTACGCTCTTGTCTTACAGGTCGCTCACAACAGGTTTTAATTAATGGAATATTGTCAAATGTATCAGAGTTAGCTTTTGGTTCACCTCAAGGTAGTGTTCTTGGACCTCTAGCTTTTTGGATGTAGCTGTATACATTACCCATTGGGGCCATATTGAGACATCACAGTTTTGACTATCACATCTATGCTGATGATACGCAAATTTTTACATGCTGTAATGTAAAACAATCCTAATGAATCAATTGAAAAGCTGTCTAAGTGTATTGATGATCTACGAGGGTGATTGATAAGAAATAAGTTCAAAATCAATGATGGAAAATCTGAACTTTTAGTTGTAACCCAGCCACATAATCAAAAAATATCAGAAAAAAGTTGAACTCAAAATTGGATCCAGTATCATAAAGCCAACGCCCCATGCTAAGATATCTTGGTCTTTTTTAGATAGAACTCTTCCTATGAATAATCAAATTGCTAGCATATGCAAGTCAGCAGTATTTAACATTAGGAACATATGCGCAATTCGTAATCACCTATCTGACTCTGCTGCAGCTACAGTTACAAATTGTTTAGTAACGTCTAGATTGGGTTACTGTAATTCTATTTTATGGTTGTCAAAAAAAAAAAAAAAAAAAAAAAAAAAAAAAAAACAGATTAAAAGACTGCAGCGTATTCAGAACATCTCAGCTAGATTATCAACCCGTACATCCATGAGTTTCCGTATCATCCCAGTTTTAAAAGAGTTACATTAGCTACCTCTGCAAGCCAGTATTTTATTTAAATTTCTAGTCTTTGTTCATGACGCTTTTTACAAAGTTGCACCGATCTACTTAGTGAATTAGTCACTCACTATGTCCCAGCAAGAAACGTGCGGTCTGTAGACAAATTGTTACTTATATAAGCTGGTAAAAATGCGCCTAAAACTTATGGTGACATTTCTTTTAAATCATCAGGTCCAAAGGAATGGAATTTATAACCACTGAAAATCCGATCAAATGAGTCTACCAAGCATTTTAAAAAAGAATTGAAGACATAACTATTCAGGAAATTTTTTGATTAATTAACTTTTAAGTTGATTTTACAAATGTTATAGTAATTGCATATTTGCACCGTAAGAAATAAGGCTGTTCTACTTATAATTTTACTATGTGCAAATAGGGCTGTTCTTTTTTTTTTACCCAGAATTGATTATTTTTTTTTTAACAAACATATTTAGTTATGTACTGTAAGTGCTTTTATGTGATGAAACGTATGTTTTATCTAGAATACTCTTAATTTTTTCTCGTTAAGCCCTGTAATTTGTTTATTTATCTATTCCTAATAATTGATTCTGCAGTAATAGTTTTATGTATATGTAAAGTCTTCTGAACATGTAATCGTGGATTTTAGATTCAAAATAAATTTATTATTATTATTATTATTATTATTATTATTATTATTATGGTTGTGACAGATTTAGCTGTTGCCATAGTAACACAGGAGTTTTTAAATTATAAAGTCTGAGACCTTTAAATTATCATGTATTTCAAATATATGAACTCTGTGTATTATAAGCTTTAAAAAATTAGACTTGGGCCTCAGCAATTAATGAAATTATTTGAAAAAATATCATAGTTAAATTGCCAAAATGGCAGCCATTCCAAGATAGTGGCAGATTCATGTTAATTAGCTTTTTGTAAACTTAGCATTAGAATTGAAAACTGTTAGGTTTTTGGATAAGTTGATCGGATCTTAATTACATAATTACTGTGTACAGTGACCGTTACTCCAAACCCCCTTTTTTTTAGTGTAAAAACCTGAAACCCAAGGTGCCCATCTCAAAACACGGTTTACATATTGCTGTGCTAAATGAATAAATGTTACTTTTTCCTTTCAAAATGCCTCTTACACTTTCTGATGAACATAACCTATTATCAAAATATAAATAATATCTATTTATTGCGATTTCACTGGGAATTTCAATTTTCAAAAGATTTTGGCCAAATTATATTTGCTTGGCCGTTCTAAAATTCAACATGGCCACAGTTGGCCATAACAGTGAGGGTATTAATTTTTAATGCAAGAAATTAACGTATAATTCTAAAAGTTGTGCAGTCAATTAAAATCAAATATGACCTTTGTACACTGATTTCATGGAAATACTTGTCCATATTTATTGCATATTCAGGATTAGGGCTTTTTGGTAACAGGTGAAATGTCTTGGTTGTAGTCTTTTTCAATGAAGAATGTTCATTGTAAAGCCAATCAAGATTTGCTGTTACCTAGTCTTCGGTTATTGTTGACCATTTAATCTTTCTTTTTTAATCATTTTACATGGCCGCACATCTAGAAGTGATGAGCAGTATCATGAAAATAAGTTCTCATCCAAACTTTAGATGAAATGAGGAATATAGCTCTCACTTTTCAGTCCACTGGTTAAAAAGATGTAATTTCATTATCATTGGCGGCCATTTTGAATTTTGAAAGCCATACTGTAATCCAAATTAACTCAAGTAATTGAAAACGGTCCTGTTTTCATATTCAATACATCAAAAGTAATGGAGATTTTAATTTGGGATGACAAATCTGCCATATTTCCAGACAGGACAGCTATATGTAAAAGACATATTTTGTGGCAGCCATATTGGATTTCAGGATTTTTCATCTCAATATAAAGATTGCACCTTGAACAAGCACTATTAGGCAAAAAGTAGAGACTCCAGGCTACACTGGTACATCAAAATATCTCTGATATTCTAATTCTTTAATAATTAAATAAAAATTATCATTTCTAGTGCATTTCTTAGACTACATGTCGAGAATGATTTTAAATTCCATTTAGTCAATGCATTTGAAATATTTTAGATTTTGTTGGTGTCAGAACTGTCAGTTTTTATCCCGTGTGTTACCATGATAACGGCTGTAGCACACACACACCCACCACCAGTTTAATGGCAACAAGCAAAGGGCCTATTAGAAAGACATAGTGAACGAAAATCAATAAGGGGGGGGGGTCGGTATTTGGCCCATGAACTATAAGGCCTTATTCAAGCAATCATAAGTCTGAATTATTTACGAGGAATTCAATTGGAAATTATTCCGTTAAATAATTACAAAAATATAAACACGGTCTGATACGTTTATTATTAAAAATTTAAGTACGCGTTGTTTGTTGAGCATTTTGAAGAGAGTAATAAAAACACTTTCCATGAACAGATCTTTAAATAATAATAAATTTGTTCCAAAGAAAAGGGGCAAGCAAAATAAATAAATAAATAAATAACATGCAAAAATTAGGATTCAGGGTAACAAACGGAGAGACGTGATAAAAAAAAACAAGTCAAGCACGTGTCTGTGGTCCTGAATCTTTCTACTTTTATTACAAATATGTGGATTTACAGGTAAAGTGCAGTTTACAAGTACTGTCTAAAATCGAAATGTCTCAAACCAAGGAGTCCCAACAACGACCTCCTCGGTGAAACTAAATCTGGGTGCAGCAAAAGTGAAAGATGTCCTCCATGCTGAACAACTGTCCGTTAAGAAAAAATCAGAACCTTTTTTATCATTTTGCTCATTTTTTGGTTCCTCCACCAAAATAAGAGAGGTATCAGAGTAAGAAATAAAGATAACTAATATGACTACAAGTTGAGGTATTGACGTATAGAATAGAATATAATATAAGGTAGTAATCGTACACTACGAAGGCAATGGAAATGAGAAACGTGTATCATGAACTATATTTTTGGGTTTTAAAGTGATTTCATTATGGTGATACTGTTTATAATGAATTGAATTCAAATACCATATTTTAGAATGTGTAATTCTCAGCGACAGCAACCTTAATGCTCCACTGTTTATTACGTAAACCCAACCAGAATAAACGTCTTTGTGTGTTCGCTAAATACCTCTATAGGTATGTTATTAGAAAAATCTGAATACTGAAAATGACAGTGGAAAAAGAGACAAAAACCCAATCCGTGAAATTTGGCATAGCAGAGAGAGAATAAAAATAAAGTTATTCTAAATGAATAAGATTCACAGGCAATTGCACCAATATCTAATTTTTCTTATTGGGGATACTGGTTGGTCTCTGATTATAATCCAGTGTCCTACACCAGATCGTTTGGAATAACCTGAACTTTATTGAGTTGCTTGTCAACAAAGTCAAACTGATTGTATTGGGAAGTTCCTCCGCGTATGATCAAATCGGAATTGACGCCTGGCTTTTCTTGGTTATATGGGGACGTGTGAACATATTTGCCCCCAGAATGTTTGATCCGACCTTCTCCTTCTTCGATTGTAAACAATGCAGCATTATCGCATTTTGGGTGTGGGAAAATTGCTGTATTATCCGCTGGTTCAGCCGAACTACCGAGGGGAGTCAAACAATGTCCGTCAGAGCCTTCGACCTTCAGATAGCCCAATTGCCCTTCCTTCTGATACCAGCGCAGTAATGTCGACTTGCTGCAATCGTCTGCACGGAATGTTTCATAATGCATGCCAAAGAACCACGATTCAGCATAGGCGTAACATTGGCCGCTAGATCTGTGCCTCAGAAGGAACGGAGGGCTGATGTATGCCCCTGCAAACCAATGTAACAGTCAGTCATTCACTATTTGGATGACAAATTATCATACAAACCAGTCGTTTCACTATCAAATCACCAATCAACTACTAAAGTTATAGCAAATTTAATCATTTAATTACATAGTCAACCATACAACAAATGAAACGATTGAATAAATCATCGGTCAATCGCGAAAAAACATAAGCTGAAAAACTAATTAATAAACCAAGAGATCACAAAAACGACCCTTCACCAAGCAGGCAGTGTCGCGTTGGATCAACGTTGAAAACAGGTTGATACGTTGAATTGCTGTTGATCTACCTAAATTCGACGTAAAATAAACGTTGATCCAGCCACGTCAAAACACCGTCATAATGTGACGTTGACTCAACGTCGTATTTTGGTCATTGACACAACCTTGCAGACATGGATTGTAATTTAAAATATTAATTATTGAAAACGTGATACTTTGTTTATCAATACTGTAACTAACTTTATCAAAATAATAAAAAAAGTGTTTTAAAGTAGATGTGCCAGTTGTTTTGTGTCTTTAGTGAACTAGTGAATTTTCTTAACTTGTTATTCAGAAATACATTCCAATAAACTGAATTCCTTGCAAGGTCAGCTAACACTAGGATGAATAAGTTGCTGTAAATGTGATGGAGTGAAATTAATAAAGTTGACAGTTCTCGGTACCCTGTTATAGATAGACAGGCTAAGGTGACTGTGACTTTGTTATATACATATATGGGACACCTGTATCAGGCATGTTATCAGTTTCTTAAAATGGGCATATCCTTGTTTATTCAGCTATTTTGGACGAGAGATTTAGTAGAGGTTTCTCACTAAATTATGACTCGTACCAAACCTTTGTTTTAATGAACCGCTATGGGTTTATCCTGAACTGGAGTGCACTAAATATTTCGTCTTCAGATCAACTTTTAGGCTTTTTTAGGGGGGGGGGCAGCTGCAGCAAAAATAAAAACAACTTTATTGGAGTTGCTAAAAGCAAGCAGTTCTTACAAAGGACATTACACACTTTGGGGTGGAGCGCGTTTGCCGGTCTCTCATTGGTCGAAATGAATAGAGACCGGGGAACAATGGGCGACTATCTCTGTTACGGCCTCTGCTTAAATCTCGTTTTCTGGGAAACGTTCCTACACTAGGTTAGGTCAAGCGCTCTAAGAGGTTGCAAATGGAAATGCAGTCAAAGGTTCGTGGAACCCCTTGGTAAGAGAAGATCGACCTACGAAGCATGTTGGAACTTACCTTCGGTAACCGCCAGGCTGGCAAACAGCACTATAGCCAGGAACAAGTGCATAGTGGCGTTCAGTAGTACGGGGCTTCTTGCTGCAACTGTCGCGTCCTTGGTGGGCTCTCTTAGGTCCCTGTGTGTCCGGTGGATGAGGTAGGGTGAGGAAGTGTGCTTCGAGGGTTCGTATTTATACATATCAACGCGGCACCCCAGCCTCGCAGTGACTGTCAGCCCGCACAATCTTTACCATATAAGGTAAATAATTGGTGGCATTACCATAACGTATACCACGCGACGGGTTCCTATTGGACATTTTATCAACTTAAAACTGACATACGTTTCACTGGTGTAACTTCAGACTCCAGAAAGTGATGAAACATTAAATAATAGATAGTTGTCACTTTCATCGGAACAAGCATCGCAGGCGAATCAATCAGTAACGCAAGAAAAGTTGCCGAAAGAGAGAGAGATGGAGATTAAAATGGCGCCCTCGAAACTGCACAAACTGTAGGTAGATGACATGAAATAGGTCAGAAACGCTCAATTTATAGGCCCATAAACCAATGAGCACCTGTTGGAAGGCTTGTTTAATAAAGTTTATTTCAGTTGTGTCCATTTTATTGAGGTCTAAAGCATTCATTTTGACAGTCGAACACATCAACTGCCTCTGCTCTACCAGTTTACCGATACCAATTGGTGCTGGGCGCCAACATATTGTCTTACCGAACAAGCAGGGGCATCAGGGCATTCTTAAAAAGTTAAAGTTTCACGTATCACCAGCGTGTTGAAGTCGAAATTAAATTCAGATTCAGCTGTAATGGAGAGTTTTTTCTCAGTTTTATTCCCTTGTGCTTTCATTGCCGGCAAACACTGTATCTCCAAGTAAATAAATGTAGAAAAATGTAGCTCGTATTGAACTGGTTCCCACCCACTGTCATGAACAGCGTGCGTGCGTCAACATTGGGTCTCCTTTCTTTTTGTTTTTAAATAAGGCTTTGAAAACTTCCTGACGTAAATTTTACTTCAGACTTTTATCTATCGCCGTGCCCCCCCCCCTTTTCAGGCAGGTGTAAAGCAGGACAGCTTCTAATTTTGTTCCTATGTCACTAAAAGTGATTGCTAAACTCCTTTATTTCGATCCGTTATTTCGAACGTATGGCTTCTCTTTTCGTTCTATATATTACAATAAAACATGATAACTCAGTACAATGTACAAACAGTACAAACACGACTTAAACTTACGGCCAAACCTTTCAAGCGATTAAAAATGCAGCATAATTATGCTGTAGTTATCGTTATCACGTAGGCTCGAATCTCCCTTCTTGCCCCGTTTGAAAACACACATATAATAGAGATAGATTCACACAAATACGCTTTTAATTGAGAAAATTTATTTTAGTGAAAACAACTAAATCATCCATGAGCCATTTTTGATACATGCAAAAAATATTTAATAGCTATAATGCCAGAAATTCAGTTTCATACGACATAAAAGGTACCATGCAGTGACAAAATTTCCCTGCTATTAAAATGATTACCTTCCACTTTCCCCGTGTAACCTCGTATTAAAAAAATTATGTAAAACTGCTTCGAAAAACGACGCAGTATATTACAGATGATCAGAGAAAACTGTTCTGTATTTACTGACATACATGAACAAAAAAAAATATGTCAATATTTAAAGTTAAGAGAAGCGCAACCATACCTTACCGACTTCAAACTTTTTCCGCAATACGAACGTGCACAGGGGCCTGTGACATAAATTATCTTTAGCTCAAAAAATGCCCTCCACTTACATGTTTGTGTATAAAGATTGTATTACAGACCCATATGTACATGTGATTGTACCAGTAGATATTTATCGCTCTTATTCAGCACCTTGACTATCTCTTACTTCGATCTTCCGCGTAGATTTCCTAAGCTGCTCAGCCTCCCCTATTTTCGACGAGACCTGCACTAATGAAATTTGTCACGCAAAATGCGAGGTCCTATAGAATTAGGTCAAATAATGTACATAAACATGCATATCTACAAGAAAAAAGCTCATTTGGACCAATGAGTGTTTTGAGTCCAAGCTAGAATATATCAGTTCCATAACAAAGTTAAAGATATTTTCTACAGGATATTATCAAAGATCTTTATCCCTCATTTTTGCCCATATTCACCGGCGTTAGCGAATACATTAGGTATTCAAACAAGTACAGTACGTACAAGCTAGAACAATGGCCTCATTTAACTTGAAATAGAGTCTTCGTCAAACGAGAGACTAGAATAATGTGATGTGGCAATGGACACGTGCACAGAAATATATACATGCATATGGAAAACCACCTGTGGGGCATGAGGGAAACATTTGGCAAATCACCTACCCCCAATACAGTATTTTTTCATTGAACATGAGGCGAAGCCAAATCTATTTCACCGTGATACCCGCCATAGTAATATCTAACATAGCAGTACAACTGGTTATACAAGGACTACTAACTCGTTCTCGTGAGGAGATAGATACGGACCAGCATGCCTCGAGACCAGGTAAAAATACAAGTAACAAAGATGTTAAACGTATATTTTCTCTTCATAATCAGAATATACACAGGAAGTGCTGTGTGTGTGTGTGTGTGTGTGTGTGTATGTGTGTGTGTGTGTGTGTGTGTGTGTGAGAGAGAGAGAGAGAAAGGTTACTAGAGAGAGTTGGAGTGTGTGCGACAGTTGAAGTGTGTGTGTGTGTGTGTTTGTGTGTGAGTGTGTTGGCGTCTTCAAAGCGTTGCTGTTGATATATCTGTGAAGGAAATAGGGGAGAGGGATACCGTCGTTATTGGCGGAGATTAGCAATTCATTTCTCCAGTATATATATATAACTTTTAAAAATATGCTTGCCCTATTTAACTTTCTTTTTGGCCAGTAATTTGAATAAAACGGATCCCTATCGCTTATTATCCGCCTGCTTCAAATTGAGAGAATGCATGTACTGCTAAAATCTTAACATTGGCTTGAGTCGTTAACAAAAGCAATTTTAGAACACTTGCATCTATGTGGTCAAAATTAAGGCAGGCTTTGAGATAAAAATCTGAATAGTTAAAGACGGCAATTAGAGAGACGCTTGGTTAGGAAAATATCTGTAACATGCTTTTCTAGTCACGGCAATGACTATTTAAACAGATTTAGTCATCTTGTCATTTTCCTTTCTCCCCCCCCCCCCCATTTTTCTTTTGCCAAATGGAAAAATTTACTTTCTACCATTATGTGCAATTGAAGATTCCCAGGGAAAATATTTGATTACTGTAATTATTTCAGCGATTGAATTTTAAGAGCAATCAAAAGCACCTGTTATAAAATTATCACAGATCACGAAGTAATTGCATCTCATTTTCCCTTTGGGATCCTGCATCAAAAGTGTTTGCAAAAACAAACTTGAAAAAGATAAGGGGTGTTTGGGATGATGAGTCGGAGATGTACTCACATTAAATGCACTGAAACTGAAAAAATACGAACTAGTAAACAAGTGAAACATGACAGAGGGCAAAAACTTGGATTGATTCTTGATAGTTACAGTGCACCAAAGAAAAAACGTATATATTAAAACAGAGGTAGCCTTCCGGTAGAATGAAACACCAAAGAAAAATAAAGGGGATAGACAGAGTGCGAAACAACTTATTAGTAGGCAGGTACTGATTCAGGCCGCCTTCTGGGTCTTCAGAAAGACGGTCAGATTTTCAAGTTTACCTTTTTTTTTTTTTTTTTTTTTTGGTCGGAAGACGGTCAAAAATGGAGGATGGATCAACAAAGATAATATGGAAGACTGTCAGAAAAATTCTCTGGGTCCGCGATTGTACTTGGCCTACCTTTAGATTTCTGCATAGCAAATATAGGCCTGTCTTGATCGTCTTTATGTTTGTAATATAAAAACAGATTTGCTATCGGATATGTTTTTCTAATTAAATACATTTTTTCGCCTTTGCTTACAGAAAAAGGACCTCCACTGCCAAGAGTTCTTTGTTGGCTACTTACTGATCCTCCGGATCTCGACAAGCGCGTTATTCACGTCAGAGACACGTGGGCGAGAAGATGTGACGTCACATTATTTATGAGCTCCATGGAAAATAAGACGTTCCCAACAATTGGTTTACGTGTACCACCCGGTAGAGGACACATTGCAAAAAAGGCCAAAGCTGCATGGAAATACATTTACGAGCATCATCTGAACGATGCAGATTTCTTTATCAAAGCTGACCCTGATACATACGTAATTGTAGAAAATTTGAAACATTATCTAACATCTAGGGACCCAAAGAGGGCAGAGTTTTATGGACACCAGTTTTACCCCAGTGATTGGGAATTCAACGCTGATACTAGAATTAAGAAGTCCTTGTATATGAGTGGAGGTCCAGGGTTGGTGCTTAGCAGGGAAGCTGTCAGATTGCTTGTTACGAAAGCCATTAATAGCGACCCGAAATGCCTGCAGGACGGAGAGGGTAGGCCTATATATCTCATTCATGTACAGGGTGGTACATAAAAATGACCATTTTTACATTCCATCTCAATTCAAAATAGGTCGTTTAATAAGGAACAACCTGTATATTGTTTCATCTATTTAAGTGACACGTGTTTAAGTGACACGTGTTAAAATGTTCAAAAGTTAATATAGGCCCTATATAATAGGCCCAAATATAGGCCCTATATAATATGTCCAAAAGTTAATATAGGCCCTCAATAAACATTATGTCCTTATACATTGTAACATATCCAGGGTACCTTCAATATGTATCCACTGATCACGCAATAGGCTTAAAACCAACAAAATATTCTGACTTAATTTTGTATTTTAATCTGCCATTTGTTTTCTGGACATCAGCCGAGGACATGAAGACGGCGAAGTGCTTGTTAAGTGTTGGTGCCGAACCGGTGGACACTCGGGACGAGTTGGGCAGAGAGCGGTTTATGATTTTCCCTCCTTATGTCCACCTGAAGGGCCACTACGCCGACTGGTATAAGAAGGGAGACGCTCATGGGGCAGTGGAGGTGGGTAGGACAAAGTCCACACCAGCCGATCTTAAATTTGATAATTATATATTTTATATAGATGGGGCCCTGAAGATACGAAGGCAGACTAAGGGGGTGGTGCTTACAGAGGGCCACTGCCGCCTTCACCCCCCACGCCTTCAGGGCTAACCCCTCCCGCCCTTGTATTGTTAAAAACAGCATTACAAACGAAACTAGACAAATTGGCCTTTTCTTTTGGTAAAATTGCCTTGAATACTTCACATTTGCTCAATTTGGTTAAACAGATTTTACTACAAATGTCAACTTTTCTTTATCGAACATTTGTATCATTGCAGATACAAAATGTCCAACGACTAATAGACATGCCAAAGAAAACATATTACTAGTACCTTCTGTTACTTTATGTTAACTTTGTCCTAGATATTTTACAATTCTTGCGTGTACATCAGTATAGAATATACTTCATTACCAATAACCACCGCTGATCTGTATTTTTTCTTAATCTTTTCCAGGGTTTTGAATGCTGTAGCAGGTACCCCATCTCATTTCATTATATCAAGCCCGATGTCATGTATGAGATTGAGTATTACGTTTATCGAATGGATTACAAAAGAATTAATGAAGAAGTCGACTGAAGATGCGACTGTCTCTGTGTATTGCTGACAACAGGATGGAAGCACTAGGAGCACTAAACAGAGTGATTACCTCCAGAGTGATTACCTCTTGAAAAGTCATATTATTCTCATCCACAAGCAATAATAAATCGAAAGATTATACAGGCCAATTTTTGCTTATATTGTGAAACTTTGCAAAATGAAACACCAAAACTGACACGTTTTCTAGCTTTGTTGCCAAACCATGAAGTCATCAAGATGAAAATAAATGAAAATATTACATACACGTGCACCTTGTTTAAACTCTTTTATGGTATTCCGATATTTTAACAGATAATTAGTATGTATATGAGATATTCAGTCAAACAAGGCTATTGATATACTAATGCGATGTTTAACAATCATATTTCATAAGATATTATCTGTGATAATTTATTCTGCCTTGACTCAACTTCCACCATTGCAGCACAGAGAATCAAAACAGCAGATCGTTAGGATCATTAAATGGAGTGTACTCTCTTCTTCTTGTTCTTCGGGGGCTGGCAAAATAAAATATAAATTAAAAATTAATATGTACGGTAAAAGGAAGCTTTTACTTTAAACACTACATTAAAGCCTAACTTTGTGCAGTACACCTTAAAATAGAACATAAGAAGAAAGGTTCTCCTGAAAACTTCAACAAGAATCACAAACTGGTTTAATCGGCTTTATTGAAGTCTCACCTTCGTGCTTGGAACACCAACTTCCTCACAACAAAAAGAACTACAACAGCTGCAAAAATTAAAATAATGCTAATGGCCCCGGCGATTATACCAATTTTCATCTTTCGGCTGCTAACGTATTCTGTAATAAGAATTTTAAAGAAAAGTGAAAGAATAGCCTTCTTGTCTTATATACAAAAACGATTTTTGAACAAGATGAATAAATACTGGTAAAAAATAAAAGGTTGAATCTGTATATAAATGGGGGAAGAAAGTATTTTACAGAACAGTGAAAGAAATAGACTTCTTGTCTAATATATACAAAACGTAGCAAAACGATTTTTGAACAAGATGAATAAATACTGGTAAAAAAATAAAAGGTTGAATCTATATATAAATGGGGGGGAAATGCACATTGTATAACGAAAAATACATTAAATCGAATGCCCGTTAGTATCTGCAATACCTTCTTTACCTGCTTTTTGAGCGACAATTTTGCTGCCATCTGGTAGGTACAACACCATACCAGTCACCGTCATGGTGTCATCTGACGCTCGTGCAAAGGTGAAGGTCGTTGAGACGCCTGGATTGTAGGCATATAGAAAAGGGCAGTATCTGGGAAAAAATGAAGTGTATGAGTGCATTCCCAGAGATTAAGCCGCCTAAGCTGACAGTAATCTAGTGAGACTCCCCACAGGGATAGATCGATCTAAAATCTGTGGGGATGGGGTCTATTATTTGACATGCATTCCTAGAAAAAGTATACTCGCATTACACCGAAAAACATCTTTTGAAAACCGAAAAATCGTACATCGACGTGGTCACAAAACATCTCTAAGTACATGTACATGTACCGGGGTATGTAACGTATACACGTAAATCCTGAAACGTGGTCTGAAAAACATGCTCCCTTACCTATCCTTTTTATAGGCACATGGATAGTAGGGCACACTACACCTCTCTCCAAACTTAACCCTGGATGACGTCACAACCACTTCTGAACTGAAAGCATTCCTTAGAACACATCCAGCTGAAACGTTTGCCAGGGCAATGGAAGGTGGAAATATTCCATCGGGTAGAATGTACGTTCCTTCAAAACTGGTGTCATTTTTGGTAGGCAGCTTTACCGCCACGCTGAGAAGAAATATATAGTAGAACTCTATATTTATAAACCATTGTGGTCTCCTTTGAAATTTATGTCAGTATATAGGCCCTATCACGTAGTAATTTTCAGCGTCAAGGATAAAAGTCAATGCAACAGATGTTGTCTTAGAGGGCAATAGAAAACTGACACAGAAAACAAGGTGAATTTGCACTATATGCAATAGCATGCAATTCGTAAGAACTTATCAGTGGGAACATTATATCGGCTTTTAACAGTTGTTGCACTGAACTCTCTAGACTGTCTTAATAACTGATCACACTCTCCTTTAAATCCCGCAGAATCTCGGTTGATTTTACGCCAAGTCGCAAGAATTTTCGTTATCTCGACTGATTCTTATTAAGACGCTGTTTTTTTTTTTTTGTTTTATTTTTTTTGGGGGGGGGATGATTTTGGGGAGGGTCAATCTTTTGTTAACCTTGTGAAGCAAATGATGATTAAATCTTGTACCATCTTTAAAACGTTATTATGTCCAAGGTTAAGTGAAGAGCCACGTCACATGCAACTTGAGTTTCAGAAAACACGGGAAATTCACCATGCCTGTACCGTTTTCAATAACAAGTATGCGTTTTTTATTTTAAAGTTTTTTTTCTTTTTAAGACGAAAATATCCGCCACATGGACTATTACAACTATCGCCAAAAAGCTAGCTTCGCTTCACTTGGCTCCTTTTCTTGTGTCGAATGACGAAACACAGTACTGAAGATCCCCATTATAATGCAGACACGTACCGTAGGGTAAGAACGTCCAAAACCGAATCCCCAGGCAGCAAGATGTCGTGCCACTTATACTGAACAAGCACTGTTCTGTAGACTTCTGCTATTAAATATAATCCATAGGTACAGTCCTGGTTTGTGAAGACAGCCACGCCCCTTCCGTCTCCGGTCCCCACAACCAAGGAGCAATACCCCTTACTATGACCTGATTGCAAAGTACAAGACAGACAGGTTTGCACAAAATTGTCTTATGTACATGCGACTCAAAGGACGTTGGATGTTGAAAACGGCATTCAATTTCAAGCAGAAACAAAGAATTTAAATAGCTTGTCTCTATGCCACGAAAGAAAATAGATTTATCATGCAGAAGTAGAGCAAGCAACTACAACAGTAAAATTCCATCAACTAGTGTACGCGCTCAATCCCCCCTCCCCCCCCCCCCCCCCCCACACACACACACGCAAACACACCCACAGAAAACTATTCCTTACCTAAATGATAAAAACCGTTAAATACCGTCGCTCCTGATTCGTTCATCTTTCCCGCATTCTTGCGACCAGGTGTCCACATTTCCCAGCTTGTTTTTATTTGTATATTAGATATTGAGTTGTTAGGGATTTTCAGACTACGGGTTATGTGTGACAAGTACCGCAGCACTTCTTGACAGTTAACCCACCATTCTTTTGGGTGTGCTCTCCTTCTGTCTGAAAATTGAAACTGACGTGTCGTCTAAGATTCTAGAGATTTTAAGATTAAAATTTGATCATTCATATCTTAATTAACACGTGAACTTAATCCTAGATACAGAGCTATTCGGTTTGCTCCTCAGAGTTCGAAATTGTGTGTGTATGTGCATGATTTTCAGTGTAATGATATTGAAATGTTTTGAATGTTGGAAAACTCAAAATATTCACAGAATTCGGGTGTTTAAGACACGCATAATACGCTGTGCGCACAATGATCACTTGTATGATCTCATTGAATGAAGCTCTTTATCAATAAGAAAGATGAACTTTTGCTGGGCTGAAGGACCCTTTACCTTGAACCTCGGCAGCTTTTTCTTCGTGACAGGAGTGACCACGTGCCACATTACCAATGTCAAGGTCGGGGAGGGTGCTTTCGGACATACCATTGGTTAAGAGCTGGAATCCCAGAAACACCGCAGTGGTGAAATATTGATGATGTCAGTTCGTCTAAACACGACATGATAAATTGAACATTCTTGTAAATGACCAAATATGAATTACAAACAGAAAGTCTTAAACAATTTCATACCTCGTTTTGAGCTAAGATGGCAAACGGCTTTTGATAAATGTCTTCCAGAATTTTTTGCAGCACCACAAGGCTTCCACCAGAATGTACTTGGGGGGAACCTGAGCCAGAGGTTAAAACTAAGTAGGCAAATTATCTTTATATAATAATAATAATAATAATAATAATAATAATAATATATTTTTAAGTGCTAGCAATGACTTGTTATATTTCCAAGATTACCTTCGTCTATATTTATTATTGTATAAAAGTCACGAGTTGGAAAAATGCATACTTCCATTTGAAAATAACAGACTTTCATTTCTATCACATTAGTACCTGGTTCGAGGGGTTGTTTCACTGGTTCATTGTGTCCTGGCCGTGTGCTGTCCAATACATGGTCAGTGCTTACCAACCGGTAATTTCCGTTGTGGCCCTTGAAACACTGGGGCTCCAAACTCCGTGTTTGACTGAGTAACTCTCGAACTGTTACGGGTGAACCAGCGGACATTCCGCTAGAAATCTGCATAAATAAATAAATGAATAATGATGAAAATAATTGATAAATGGATTGATTAAAAAAAGCAAAATTTTTAAAAAAATCTAGCTATCTTTCAGTTATCGCAATAAAGGTTAAAATTATTAACGTAATATGTTCTGTAATGAATTTATAAGAATTAAAGCAAACCACGTAGCAGCCAATATAAAGGCAATATGTATACGAAACTCTTTTCGGAAATTATTGTACTTTCCTTGTGAAAATGACCTCGAGATGATCATTAAAATTATGATCTGGATATCCTACTAGTACCTGCCATGTGGTAAGATATGTATTGGCGTCTTCATCTAGATTCAGAGTCCCATTTGCCCATAGTTGCATGACTAAAGCTTCTGTCACCATTTCATTGATGTTACCAATCTGGAACCACGTGTTGGTGTCGACTGCAACACCACCTAGTGAGGTAATGGTTTATCGTGAGAGCGTGGCAGAAACAGTATATAAACATGCTTAAAAGACGGCACCTTTCCGTATCTCAAATACGCAAGCATGTTTATGTGGCCAAGGGTATAAATTGTATGTAAATAATGTCACATCTCTTAAGTTTGAAAAATATAAAATATTATGATGCATTTCTGTTTTTCATTTCTTGGAGAATCCTATGGATCTAGGATAGAAAACTTATCTAGTATCCTAGTATGGATCCAGGTTATTGCTTGCAGGGGGAGGGAAGGCACCAGGGTAAAATGCCTATCACAACATAACAATTTTATAACAATTGAAGGGGACAATTTTATTTTAGTTTAGTTATGTGCACAGGTATGGATGAATTGCTTGATTTTTGTTTATTTTCATACGTAATAGTGTTAAGGGGCAGAAGTGGGCACCTAAGTAGCCGGGTAGGGGGAGTCGCATGTGCCCGCTATGTCCACAACCCCACGTAAATTCACTATTGGAATCCACTGCGGTCTGAGAATAGGTAAAACCAGAATAAGGCCATATACCCAGGTAATTTATTTGAAAAGGTAATTCCAAACCAGATACACGATAGTTTTAACCAAAAAAGCGTTAGACTGTAGGAACGCGCCTGTTTTTGTCATGGAAGTTTTGTACAGCAGACGACAGCTTACCGTTTGTCACGTGACCATAGCCAGCCGCCCATTTCACCTCCTCGTGCGTCATAACGGCCAGTGACATCCCTGGGACTCTCCAGTGCGCCATACGGTCGATGATACTAAACGTTTCATTTTCACGTTTTGTCCCAACGAAATGTTCTGTTGCTAGGACACCTTGTTCAATTTGAAACCGCTTGGTGTGTCTACCTGACCAAATGGAGGGTGTAAGGTTATCAAATCGCAGTTCAATTCACTCCAGGAAGTAGATCTTTATTATCTACTTCCTTGAATCCAATAATGCATACATTCATATCATTTTCCTGTCTTTGCTTGTCTAATCTTACAAATTTTCCCTGTCTATTTAGTTCGACAGAAATTTAAGTTGAAAGATGTCGCTAAAAACTTTAGATGCATTGCACAATTCGCGATTGTAGGCCTACTTATTTCATTCTGGAAGGATGCATATGGTTCTTGCTTTTCGTTTTTGAAATGCTTAATAGTAGAGAGGTGAGTTTTCACTGTCTCTGAAAATCATACTTTATAGCGACGTCCTCCCCTTCGCTACACTAGATTATTTCAGAAAACAAACGAAGCAAGTGGAGCGCAGCATTTCACTGCCATATACAGGGTACCTTATGAACAAACGATATAAATATTTGCACCATTGCCTGAAGATAATATAATATGAATATTAAAGAGCTCGGAATGGGATCGCCTACATTTCATATACTGTGTATTCTTGTGAACTTTTCCATTCCAATCTGCCTAATTGTTATTCATCTCTTATTCATTTTGAGATGTTCATAACAGTATAAGAAAAATAAACACAAAAGAATAAAATCGACCACCTATGCATATTAGGGCCATTTATCAGACCGTTGTGGATATAAATACATAAAACATCACGACCTCATTTTACCTGTCTCCTCAGACTGGCTTGACAAACAGGCGAGAGTAATAAAGGCAAGTACGTGCAATTGTAGCATCTTAACATCCCATCTTTGAAGACCTAAAATACGTTTTTTATCCTCCAGGGTTACGTCTTTTTTTTTTCGATGAATCCTTTCTTTCAATTGCTACCCGCCTTTTTCAGTTCAAGGGGTCCCTGTTTTCTTCTCATATTCATATGATGACTTCATTTCCGAATACATATTCGATAGGGAACCTTCTTGGTTGATATTCACCACATATACGCCATTCGCCGTTGGTCGTATGTCGGCTGATTTTGGTCCTCGTATTCCCACCGGGCAGGATCGCTGGAGGTTTGAGAGGATATAGATACTTTTGCTAAATTTAAGTCAAGCCTTGCGCGTCTAACTCAAGACGCACTGTGGCGTGACGTCATGCACATGCACTAGGCACTCACTCCGCTGTTTTTCTTGTCACCAAACAGCGCATTACCAAAATGATGGATATTCCTCAACGTTGGATAATTCAACTGTATCATCGGCGCTGTGTGACTGGGTCGTTTTTGCTCGTATGAAACGCACTTGTAGCTATAAACCTTATGCGTGCATGGAGTGACAATTTTCGCCTGCGGTGTAATTGACAGGGAAGACGTTCACGTTATGACGACACCCTGTTTGACCTCATTTATAAAGTAGTCAGTGCACTGTCATTAGTTGCCGATTAGTGCAAGTACCTGACCAGTGTGACAGCAGGCAAGGTATTAAGAATTTAATATAAAAGTAACTGATGTGATCTCTAATAATAAAACACAAGTAGTTTAGAGGGCCTGCAAAATGTACTGAAACATTTTAGTGCTCAATAAATTATTATTATTATTATTATTATAAAAGAGACGCAGTCAGTTGTGTTGTATTATTTTGCGTTCCATTTTCATATAATTACGTGACAGGGCATATTTTTGAACAGATTACAGTGAATTTCTACATGTATGACCTGATAAGCATGCAATACTTTTGCATTATAAATTCAATTTTCACTGTAACGAGCAGAGTCCGGTGGATCTCTATCTCCACTACAAGTGTTAGGCTTCATTCACATGCAATGTCTATTTTCTAAATTCTATTTTCTATTCGCGGTATGTCTTATGATCACGGTCTGTGCCCTGAATATCCCGCGGCGTAATTACTGGTAGCGCGAGCCAGTTACTATAAGTTACTATAAGTAACTGGCTCGCGCTGCCAGTAATTACGCCGCGGGATATTCAGGGCACAGACCATGATCATAAGATACCGCGAAAAGAAAATAGATTGTTAGAAAATAGACTTTCCATGTGAACGAAGCCTTAGACTCAGGAGTGGGTATTGTACATGCGCATTGGGGAAAAGGAGTATTGGAAATTTAAGAGCATTTTGTGTTTCACATTTCTCCGATTTAGAAACCGACGACGTCTTGCGCGTGCAAGGAAAGAAGTAGGCGTGCATTTATGAAAATTATATTAATTATATGAAAATGCATCTGTTAGGGTGCTTCCAATAACACTTGATACTGTAAAAAGACAAGGAACAACAAATCCATTTTCAAAACTGGTTTTAATATCACCAAAAGAAGGAAAAAAATACATCAAAAAACATTTGATGAAAACAAAATCACTTTTTACACACGAAGCAGTCCCATATCACCCAACACAACGTGGAATGTTATATAACATATAAAGAGATAGGGGATCAAGGAGAACAGTCAGCAGCAACGGCCTGAAGTCCCCAAGTTACACTGCAAACGGTGAACTAAGCTTAACGCCACGCGTGGTTGGAGCCAGCACTTTACGAAGTGCGCTGGTCTTGGAAGAAAGGTATTTCTAAGAGAAATGCGTTACTGATGCACATTACATAAATATTAGTGGGCAAGGTTATCCATGATGCACACCTTAAACATGCCATATACCGGATATCTTGCAAGTTTTACATAATAAATTTTTAGGCTCGTTATTCTGCGCAAAACGGAGGCACTCTTTGACAAGAGAAACTTTGTCCAACAACGAAAAAAAAATTACCTGAGAGTTCAAATGTCTGAATATATCAGACTACTTAGTTGGGAAACAAGACTTGAAAGCTGCCTTTTACAGGCATCATGGTGGAATCTAAAGTTTTTGATTTCTATGAAACTGTATTTTAGGGATCCAGGAATTTGTATTATGCAAATTACAAATAACATTCTCACCATCTAAAAATCAAATTTGCTTTAGAAATGTTTCTTAGGGAAACAGGGTATTAAAGTTTTTTCTCACCCTGAACCCTTTCATGCCTTCTAAAACAAATATTTCATCAAACTACCATTTGTGAGGAACTCATAATTCTCCAGTACATGTATGTCCGTGCACATGTGCATGCGCACAAACCCATGCACATACAATGTATATGAATACTGTTCAACTACAGTAAGTGTTTAGTCAATAAAGAGGGTTCACTATAGAGGTTAGGTTTGTGAGCTATACACTGAAAATGATTGTTCACCTGTTCTTATTCCTGACTATGTATAGAAATCATATAAATATGTGTTAAAGAAAAACATAACAGACAGCCTATACACAATATTTTGCTTAGAATATGCCATCAAATCCATCACTGCCCTGTAGAGAAATGAATAAACGAAATAGAAACAGCATTACGAAATGACTACTGTAACAGCAGGACAGTCCCAAACACCACAGAGAAATCACAATGATTAAAGCTACTTGCTTAATTAAATGTACGTACTGAATGAATCACAAATATTGAACAAGATTAGCAAAAAGTATCCCAACTAATTCTGCCAATGGATTCATCATTATCAAATTTACAATTCACACAATCACCACCCAAAACTTGAGCAAAGAGGCCATTAAAAACCTAATAACTACAAATAACCAAGCTGATTTCAAATAACAGTGATCACAGATCCTTGAAAAGTGCTGTGAAACTAAATGCTGTGCAGTAAGAATGTATATTCCATGTGGGGATCCTGAATCCAAGTCCAAAGCCCCATCCAAGCCCCACCTTGACTATTGTCCAGGCTTATTTACAAACACCCAGTCTTAAGAACAAGCCGGAAGCCTCACGGACCACCACCTTCAACATGCATGTGAAACAGCAGTCCACCCAGTGACCAATGACAGATGATATAATGAAGATGATGATGATAATGATAATCAACAAAAATGTTAACGCAAACAAGACCTTCCAAACTGTAAAGAGACCAACATGAACACTATAAATTGGAATACCATGTCCATACAGTTAAGAGATCTAACAGGTGCACCTTAACCAATGTTTCTTGTTCTCAAAGACACACCGATTCATAAAAATATGGAAGCCATTATTGATTGTTCTTCTTTGGAACTTCAAGTTGTATTATAAGCAGTTTTTTAAGGTAGTCTTATACACATATATCTGCCTAATGCGCCATGGTTACAACCGTCATGGTGATTGTTACCATAGTGACAGATTACGCATGCTAATCTATGATACATTTAAAAAAAACCCAGTCACCATTCTTCTTTGGATATTGCACATTAAAACGTAAAGCCCCAGAATGAAATGCTAGTCCTTTGGCTCATTTGCGACACGTCTTCTCTGCTATAGTCTTGAATAAATTAAGTTCGTAACACAGCTGTTTTCTTGATTTCTCCCAAAGACTTGATCTAGTCCAAGATATCCTGAAATGATAAAATTTTTTTTTCAAGAACTGGGACCTGATTCACAAGTACCTGCAAGTTCTTGTGTCAAGCTTAGTCCTGATTTCAATCTTTAATTCTACTAAAATAAATAAATTAATTAATAAATGATTCTGACTTCTTTTGAAAACATGGTAATAGATGTTCATCATAAATAATACATATCTGACAAATAATATGTTTCAGCCTAATAATTCTCTATCTATCTCTTTCTTTTTTTTATTTTCTTTCTTTCTTTTTATTATAATTTTTTTGAATACTCACAACATCAGAGTCATCATGATAAGATTTCACTTTGGGGTTTTTAGGATCCTTCAACATCGCCTCCTGTTGAAATGGAAAACAGATTACATGGGTGTTCTTTATTTTTAAAAATAAAAGAAAATGGTCAACAAATATCATCATGATAATTTCCTTTGTGGGTATGTATGAGTTTCTTATGTGCATAGTCCAACAAAATGTGATCAAATACTAAATCTTCAATCAACTATCTTTGTATGCGAGAACAAGATTCAGACATAAAAAACTGAAAATTTTCTTAAAAACTTCAGTCTTAAGTCTTACCTCATCATCTGAGTTGTCCTGATAAATAGTTTTATGGCTGCCTATAATATTTTCCACATCGTTATCATAATCAAACTCATCCGACTGGCTAAGCGACGAGTAGCGATACGAAACATTTCTACAATAAAGACAATATTGTAAGTAATAACTGAATTTATCATCATTTAGCTAGTTTCAATTTGTATTAGTAAGGACCAAATTAGGAACAATTTACCAGTCAGTTTCAGCAACAATATCCTACTTGACCATATAACAGACAACTTTTTGACAAAACATGCTGGCAATTCTTTCTAAAGATAGATCTAATAATATTTGAAAGCAAGTTTTCTTGCAAAGGAACATCATGGGCCACTGGAAATTTTTCATACACACAAACACAGTAATATGGAAAAATTGAAAAGACACTTCTCTGCTGTTTTAATAATTAACATGTCCCCCAAGAATTCCATTGGAGTTTCCATTTTTATAACAGATGCTGGATCACAGCACACTCACTAGCTTTGCTCATTTTGCCAAATTAAAATTTGAGACAAGCTCTACTCATTCCAAGTGTAACTAAACAGCAGCTTTCACTATGTAACTTTAACTCCGGGTCATTCCACAGAAAATATGAACATTTGAGTCATGTCAATGATGCATGCATTTTGTGCAATATTTGTATAATCTGAACTTGCCCCATTATTTTCTCTGCTTTATTGTTCCTCCAATACATGGGGTAAAACATAAATACGCAAATATTACACAAAATGTTTGTGTCACTGAAATGCCTTGAATGGCCTTTTGTTTGTGTGTGTGTGTGTGTGTGTGTGTGTGTGTGTGTGTGTAAAGATCCACCCACAGATTCAAACCACATTTTGAATCACAATTAGACTATACTTACTTATTACCAAGGTATCCAAGTTTTCTAAAAAAGAAAAATCCCATGCCCAGAACCAAAACAACTATACAGACGAGAATAACTGCCACTATTCCGCCATTGGTGCCTCCGCCTTTACCATTCTTGACTTCTGTCATGATCTCATGATCCACGTAATCCTGCAATAAAATGACTTTACACTTTCAAAAATCATTTTTGAATTCATGATTCAGTTTGTGCCTTCTATGATATATATATATATATACACACACACACATATATATATATATATATCAAAACTATAGGCTGAACTCTCTAAACCAACTAGGTTATACTAAAAGAAATTTGATTTTTGTTTTTACACCAATCTAAATCAAAATCTGGAGTTGTCAATCCTGCGGATAATCCACAGTGAACTCACATAGTCAGTATTCACCATTGAAGCATGGCCGTTTTCATCGATTTTCACCAAATTTTTGCTCTCCTCGTTACAGATCACATCCAGCGTTATTTCCGTGGACTGTTGGGGTACGAAGCCATTATGGCACCCATCGCCAGGGATTTTACGATACCTGAAAGATACGACAAAATATGGTTTTAGATACAGTAATTATTCAAAATTTTCAAACACCTCCCTTATTCTACTATCTTTCCTTATTTTCAAGATTTGATGTTTAGTTTGTAATAAATGTCAAAATCATGTCTTTTTTAAGAGGAATCCAACTAATTTTTTTTCCAATGCTCTTAATGAACATTTTAAGCAAAATATTGTTTTCAGGAAATTATAAACTGTAAAATGTTATGCTCAATTATCATCATCATCAATATTATTAATTATCCTTAATAAACAAAATTATTGTTAATTTCCTTCAGTCTTATAAAGGTGCATTACAGAATTGAATGATAATGTGCATATTTATCTTACCCAATTGTATTGTCCTCTGTAACGTGGTTATTGATACAAATTTTCAGTTCTTTTGCACTGAATTTACTGTCTCTTACACATTCTTCCTTGGCATTTTTGACGAATCCAAAATCACTGAAACCAAATGTAAATATTTAATATTTTCATTGGAATCGGATGATGCTGTTCACTTAAAAATTAATCATGCTATAAAAGCAGTTCTAGTTTTGATGCCTCAATTACCTCAGTTATAAACAAACACAAAGGATTACTTCATATGGTTCTTTTATCTTACATTAAATATTCCTTTTATTAAGAGTATCAAATACGAAAATAAAGGTTATAACTTAATTACATTTTCTGTAATTCAGAGTAAAATAAATTTATTTAAAAAAAAACAAAAAAAAAAACCAATATCAAAAACATATAGGACATGCTTATTTAGCCTTGCTCCCCCCCCCCTCCCCCGTCACCATCCATCTCATCACCTTGTCTACCCTCTCTGGCTGTACTCACCACTCGTAGTCCTCTCTCCTACAGGTACAGGGGGTTTCCGAACCACTCCGCTCAACTGAATAGCTCCTGCCATTGTAACACCTGTGGATTCATAAAGATATGACATTATATTTTGTATAAAGCTTAAAGTTAAATAAGGAGGGACAAAGACTAGGTCTTCTTGATGAGCAAACATATCTATCTTCCATATACATAATTTTGGAGTCATAAACAATCATATGTCTATATAGCATTTGCTTTGCTTTGAATGTACGGCATAGACCTATAACTTACAGGGAGTCCTTTATGACCCTCTTGTATGTCTCCTTGTAGCCAATCAGACAGCCTTTCCACTCGTCTTGCTGTCCATGCAGCTCTCCATGAGGTGACCACTCCTCGTAGTCCTGGGGATCTTGACCTGCAGTGGACAATGTCATCATCATATAAATCCTACAGTGTTCATTTCAGAGTGTTCAATTAAGTTTCTGTCCTCTCTGACTTGGAGTGGACAATAGATGGAGGTTAAAATTAATAGCCCAGGACTGATAAAAAATATGAAAGACATAAGATATTTTTACTGAAAAATTACCAAATATGTCACAGTCCTGTCTTGAAATCTGACACAGAAGATACTATGGATTTAGACAAGTCCAAAGTCAAACTGTAAATATCTTACCATGCCAGCGAAGCATTTAATTTGCTGTGTTACATTATAAGGATAAAGCAATTTCGTAATTTAGCTGCTGACTGAAGGAAAAAAAATCACTTCATCACTTACACTGCCTCTTGATGATCTTCTGAAAGTCAATGACGAATACCCTCCACTCCCTGTGCACCTGCCCATACCCCCAGATACTGACGGTCATCGCCTTGTTCCCTGGCTCTGTCAGGAGTCCAGTAAACACGATGACCTCGTCTGTGAACTTGTGCTCGTGCCAGCAGCGCCCTCCATCAGTAGAAAACTTCACTATATTAGGGGTACTGGTGTTGTATGGAATGGCCACAAGCAGACCCCCCTGGTCAGCTATCTGGTAATGGTGGGGGCCGTCCAGAGCCTGGGGATAGAAAGGAGCATTCTCATCAGTTTTAAATTAGACCTAGTTGGCTATCTGGTAAAAATGGTGGGGGCCGTCCAGAGCCTGAATATATAAAATGTGTTCACATCAGTTTTAAATTAGACCTAGCAGGCAATCTGGTAATGTTGGGGGCCGTCCAGGACCTGGGGATATAAAGGTGCATTCACATCAGTTTTAAATTAAACCTCATTGGCAATTTGGCAGTGGTGATGGTTTTCTGGGGCACTGAGAATATAAAGGACCCAGAACAGAATAGAACAGAAAAAGCAAGTATTGACCTTAATAAAATCATAGCATTTCACAACATATTTGGTCCTTGGATGATGTCTAACCCTTTTTTTTGTCTGAAATGGCCTTACTGATGGACAATGAAACGAAAGGAGTCTTCAGTATTTGTAAATCCTGTAAATTCTATATTTAATAGTTTAAAAAATAGTGAACAGTCACCTTGATCCAGTTATAGCCCCCGTCATCAGACACAAAGACATCTGGTGGGGTGTTCTGCAGGGCGTCGGCTACATGACCTGGGGGAGGAAATATGGTGGGTTAGAGGTACCACGGGAGAGTTGCTTCCATCAAATTATGAAGCAAAACTAGTCATTGACAACTACTATTTGACTAATAAATAAATTTATGGAATTCACTGAAGCTTAGTGAGAGACGGCAATGAAATTCTGTTGGCAAAACTTAAATTTTGAAAAAAAAAGTGTGAACATGTTAAGTTTACACCGGGCAGTAAGTGAAAAGCACTTGTACAAAGGAAATTTAGCATTGTACCAATGATTCTCCCCGAATGCCATGAAAGACAATAGATTCACACAACTGTGATAAATAGATTCCACAATCATGCACAAAAATGAGTTACACACAACCAAGCTACAAACCAAGTCCTAAACAATAAGACAATGCAATAACATTTAAAAAAAACACCATTTAGAATGCCATCATATACTTAAATCCCAAAAAAAACGCCACTGACCATGTGCCAGAATGATCCCCACTGCACTCTTGCTACTAAGAGGTGGCTTGGCTGGGATGTTCCGTGCTATGCTGTAGTGGTTGTGGATTTGTAAGTAACAGGCCTGGAAATGCAAGTCAAGAATGCGTACTAGTAATAATAACAAGAATAATAATAATTTATACAGAAAATAGCAATCCATATGCCGAAGCTTTACATTTCATAAAAAGATAATACATAAACACATAAAAATATATTAATTTATTGAAGTTAAAATTCCTAAACAACAAGGAACAAATTTCAAACAAGTTCATGAATCATCAGCAATAGTACATTACATTTTGTAAGATATTTATAAAATGCATCAATGAAAACATTGACTATGCCAACAAAGAGCAATGTCTCGAAAACAATTTTCACATCATTAAAGCAACATCTGATAGAATCTTAACATACCAGACATATGCTTTCAAGGTGATTATATTTACCAAAATATTAATAATGTGAATAAATATGCTATTGAAGCATGCATAACATCTTTAAATAAGATAATTATTCTACCAAAAAGAAAAATGTGTCATTCTAAATGTACACATGGAATAATCCACTGACTTAACTGAAGAAACACCACTTGCTTTTGAGAAATTTAAATTTGAAATATCGAGACGTGAAGAGAATACCTTGTGGCAAGGGACACCAGGTGGTGCCTTAATAGGTTTCCACTCAGCCCCTCTGTCAAACGAGATCATACTGTGGATGCTGTTATCATCTGACATCTGACTGGCGATGTAAACACCTCGCATGGACTCAACCTGGAGTAGAGAGCGAATTTTTTTTACAAACTGATGCAATAATTTCCCAGCAAATAGCACATGACTGTCACAAACACAATTGTGTATTTTAAAGAGTTTTGGCATTCACGGCATCTTGTAATCTGCTGCATTTCAAAATTCTTCATGCTTTCAAAGACTCATGATAGATTTTGGAATTTTCTCAGTAAAATAACTTCCAGAATATAATGCAACTGTTCTTAGTTCTACTGTGCAATTTAAAAAAAAAAATCTGACAATCCATCCTTCTGCAACATTGTACATGATCAAGCTATAAAATCCTTTGTACATTGAGAAACCAATTAAAAAACTTCACTCCTCCTGTGAATGTAAACTATCCGAATTCACTTTTAAATTAATTTTCAAATAAAAATGACGTCTTAATAACCTTGTAGAAGTCTGTGAGATCTAGGTAGTTTGGATAGAGATGCTTTTCTAGAGATTCTGTGAAGACGATTCCTGATGAATCAGAGATATATAGAGTACCATGACCAGTGTCTGTAATAGTGAGAAAAAAATTAACTGTAAAACATTGAAGTATATCTAGGCCATTATTATAGCACATCATTACACTTGTTTCACATAACTCTGTAGATTGGACATCCAAAATAGAGAATTAAAATTAAAGAATCTTTTTATTCTTCAAAAATCCGCATGTCATGCAAAAAATGGTTAATTTCTGACATTTTTTCTTATAAGTTGTGAACTACATTCAATATTAAGCAACAAAATGAACAAACTTTAACTGTATATTTCTACAACTTTAATTATCATTTGTATAGACAAACAATCTGACATAATCTATAAAAGGTGTACATACCCCCTGGTTTGTCCACGTGCAGAAAAATCATTCCTTCACTCATATCAAGAATTGAATAGAACTAAAACAACAGAGGAAATAAAAGTTAAGTGACTATTTCATGTTGCACACTTGCAACCTCTTAGGAAACTTAATTTTAGAGTTCACAACGTATACCTTGATATTTTTCCTTTAAAAATGTCTATTTTTTTAAAAAAGAAAATGCTCCCACTAACTGTCATGGCAGTGTATTTTGAGAATCCTTGGAATCAATCAAATTTCAAGCACATCACTCACTCCTATATTTTTGTTTTTCAATATTTTTAAGTTTTCACTACTCCCAAGAACACTTTTAGCCATAAACCTAACTAACTTGACAAAAGATAATTATCCTCATCTTCTGGTATCAACATCAAAATAGGAGACTGTGAGACATATTGTGGAATTTCTTTAAGCTTGTTAAAAACATCAATATTTCTAGGTAATGGCAACAGGTCTGAGACTCTTACCCTGTCTTCGGTGACAGTGGGAACCTGGACACCATTCCACGACTCGCCGCCGTCAGTGGAGACTTCAAGCGCCCTCTGGTACTGAAATATTTGTGCAGCAGGTCATTACACTAAAACTTTATAAAACTTTATACAGCTCTAGGTAAATCAGATATCACTGGAAGCAATCCGGTTATAATAACACAAAAACAAATAAATTAACATATAGAAAGAACATACAGTAACAAAATCTAAAACTGAACCTGGTTCATCTCAAAGTCTTCTGTTGGTTAGTTGTTTATTTAATTTACACTGACAACAATATTTGTCGTAATAAAAAACTTAATACATCAACTTACAGATCCCTGTTGGTTCACTGAAGTGAAAAGGAATTTTCCCTGAACTCCAAACTCGTAGATGTGTTCATTCACCATCTTCCAGTTTGCCCCCAAGTCAGTACTCCTCAACAGCTGGTAGTCATAGGATTTTGAAATGATACCTGGAGAGAAAATAAAATACAGGAAAAAAAGTGGCAAAACAAATTGTTCACCAGACACTTACTCTTTTTGAGTATCACAGTGTCTGTAAAACAGTTTGCTTCTTCTCATGAAATACCACCTCAGAACATATTAAAACAGCCCATTACATACCTCCAAATATAGAAGTGAGAATAGAGGGTTTGTCATACGTAGCATAGATGGCGTTCTCAAAACCCGGGGCTCCATTAGGATCCCTGAAAATAATGAAACATCAGCCATTAAAACCTGGGTTTAAGCCAAGTCAATGCTATCATATCATATATTATCAAACTATATTTCTCATCAACATAAACATGAAGGTGACCATGACTTACTGAGGCTTCATAGACATTTTTAGTTATTAACTGAAGAGGATAACACTTCATTTGAAGTCTTTAAACTGTAAACCTGTTTATGTTTTAATGTATATAATGATAGTTTATGTAAATTGAATGTTTAATATCTTTTTTTCAGCCTCTTTCATCTCTTATATCTTTGGCAACAATATTCACACTACTCTTAGACTAGATCTTATATTCTTTTGTCTGATCTCTTGTATTAATAATAAATTCAGTTGTCATCATGCTCTGTGCTGTGAAATAAGATACAGATATAAACATTGTTAATAATACAAAAGTGGGCCCTTACTTAGCATAATGAAAACATGACATAAATGAATAACATAGATGCTGTGCATTAAGCCCCTATCATAGTTAAAATAAGGACTTAAAAGCAATAATGCAGCATGGACCTGATGCATCAAGTATTTATAAACTGGCAGCTGGTAAATTTTGATTTAGTGTATCTCGACTCACATGAAAGTAATACAGATTTCTTATTGTCAACATTGTGCAAGTTGACACACATCTAATCTGGCAAAACCGTTTAACTTTTTAACACTTATTTTCCAAAATTTATTTGGTAATGGGTTATTACATGCTAGAAAGCACACAGTTAGAATAATATCATTTCAGAAGTAAGCAACTTACATTATATGCACCAACACTTTTTTTTTCATGTTTTTGTTTCAAGTGAAAATACATCATGTACCTGAGACTAGCCTCCTATATTGAGTGAATTCCACTACACCAAAATTATATATAAATTTATTATGCTTTGCTTCATAATACTAGGCTGAGGCTGAATGTATTCAAATTATCAGATCCTTCCAAATATTACTGGTTGTAAATCAAGTAAATTATTCATTATTTGTACAGTCTGGCTTAGAACTATATAACACACTTGCATGTGACTTAAAAGCACAGTCACATCCCACATGTATATATCTATGAATTGATAAGTATTGGGCCCTTTTCACTTTGAGTGGTATAGTTTACTGAACTTATCCAATTCACTGGGAGAGGTTAAAAAGCACTTTCAAGGGTATATACTATCTTTCACAAGTTTTCCACATGTTCTCTTCCTGCTGTTTGCATGGTGACATTTGCTTGGTTTTTGTTGCAAAAAAAAATTGACTTCCAATGCATCTTTAAGGAGGCTGCACTTGGGCCACTCTATTACATAACAGTCAGGCTATGAAGTTGTTTATCTCTCAGACTATACCAGTACAGGAGGGGGGGTGGGGGTGGGGGTGGGGTGGGGGTGGGGGTGGGGGGTTGGGGTTTTTCCAAAGAAACGCCCTTTTGTCAGGAAAAGGTCCAGTCTGGGTAAAACTTGATAAAGGTACACAAAGGTTACATTGTAAAGGGTCCACATTTTCGGAAAAAGACCTCCCCCCCTCTTCCCTTTGAAATTGCTGGCTATGGGTCTGAGACTGTATCACTGGAACCTTAGATTGACTGTCTGGTAAGCAAATCTTGCTTAATGTCTAAGAGAAGATATTTTATGATACATTTCCCCTTCATTGGCCTTTGATTAGCATTACCATAACAACCCTCTCCCTCCTTCCTAGTTTTAGAGGTAGCCTTAAACCTTGCAGTCAACAATGCAAAAGTAAGTTCCTTTGAGACAAGAAAATGTGCAAGAATACAGTTGAATAATAGACTGCAGACTGTGATTCTACAGAACTTAACAGAAAATTTCCAGAAAAATATCTTTGGGTAAATTTTGCCAGTTTCCATTTCTGGCCACATCACTCACTAGTCCGCCATTATTTCTGACTCGACTCTCTCCAAATCTTCGAAAATCTCGCCTGATTTTGCACCAAGATGTGAGACTCTGAGCTACTTCAAATGACCCCCATAGTCACACATCAAACATTGGCACAGTGCAATCTTACTCACCATTTGTACTTAACAATATCAGTATGGATTAAGCGCCAGGTTCTACCTCCGTCTTGAGAGAGGTACAAATCCTGAAAGACATTTTAGAAACAAGGCATGGTATGGTGTGAATTACTTCTTGACAAAATTATCTTTAAATTAAAATTAAAAAAAAAAAAAATTAAAATTAAACATTATGAGGAATCATAATATCCATTCAGTATGCTAATATGCAATGGGCGTTTCTTTTAAGACACTCATAATGCTACGCAATGATTAATATATTCCATTGTGGCCAGATGCCCCTCTTCCCTCACTGACTCCAAACTTTCGTGCATTTTTTTAACTGTTTTTATTCAGACTAGTGCCACATCTCATTTCATTTAATTTTTTTTTACAAATTTTTTAAATTATATAGCAGAGAGATCAAACAGAACTGCACTATCCATTATAGAGCCTTAATTTTCAATAAAATTTGTGACATGATGAATAATAGAGCTCTGACATGTTACATCTTTTTCATACACAAATTAAATGCACACCTTTTTATGTCTTATGTATAAACTATGCAATCACTGCTCAATCCAAACTTGTCACTTTCTTTTTAATGTAAGATGTTAAATTGGATAACCTACCTTGGAAGAATATCCTATTTTTTGGGCAAGTATGAGATTATTGTTACTAGGGTGAAATAGCATTTCATCGCGAAGGATGAAAGGCATAGTAAAATGGCTAAAGGTGGAGCCACCGTCCTGGGTAATATACAGGTCAGATACATCCCCAGTGAGGTTGTGTGCAACAATAAATATCTGAAAAAAAAAAATTAAAAGGATAGATTTCAGTGCTTTTCTCATGCATATTCAAAAGGAAAGAGACTGTGCTCTTTGCCTTAGAAATGCTCGGCCAAATTTTAACATCAAAGATTCAAAATGCAGATAAGATGTAATTTTTCCTTTTATAGTCATTTACATAAGCAAAGTGCACTTTTTTACCCTTATGTTAAAACCTTTTAACAGTAATATCAAACACGCTTAAAGTATACAGGTCTGTGCATTAAGTCTGCTGCAAACTGCTTCAGTGATAATAAATCAAAACATTAAGTACATGTATATAAGTAAAACCACTGCAGCAAAAAAATGTAACAGTAGAATATGAGTGCTGAGTAAATTAAAAGATGGAATACAGCTTACATTATTAGCATCATTAGGATTTTTCTGCAGCCCATTGTCTTTTCTCATGATGACATTGTTAATGCGAGAGTTGATGTCTTCAAATGATCTGCCAAAGTTGGTGCTGAATTCAGAAGTCAAAATAAAAAGTTTAACACCAGGTTATATACAGTATGGTAAGTTTGTGAGCCACATAAACAACAGCTGGGGTAGCGTTAGCATTTTTTTTTTGTTTGTTTGTTTAGCTAAATCGCCACTTTTTTGACAACTTGTTATCCAAATGGTGTTAATTTGACTACAACGAGTCAAATCAAGCCCTTTTTGTTTTGCCAGTTTAAGTCAGCTCTAGCACTTCGTTAAATAGGCGAGTGTAAACGCTACCCCAGAATAGCATATTGTCATAAGTTGTGTAACTTCAAGTATTAGTTGTACACTGCCATTTATACCAGCAGATGGAAAAGCTACAGGTCTTTGGACAGGTAACTATCCAACTGTCTTTTGCACTTTGTCCTTATTTCAATTTTTAACATTCATTAAAAAAATATTCTTCGGGGCCGTTGGAGCTTAGAAGGCGTATCAGTTGGAAAATTAATTTGAACACCCCATTTCAAAATGATACCTATACTCCCGACAAGCTATGAAAACATAAAAATAAATCATGGATCAGTTTGTGTTCAAGGACGCAGACACACATATAAACCTCTACCTATGTTACCCCTATCTCACCTTCTATATAGGACAGATGGCCTAGCCAAATTCCCCATTTCTTCTGTGACTGCAACCAATATGACCTGGAAAAATTCAAATTAGATATAGAAATGTCTCATTTAAAATATCCCAACCATGTATAATATCTACTGTTTGGATTTAAAAAAAATTAAATATACTTACTATTCCAAGAGTTTTTTCTTTACTTTTAATGTCTAATTGATTTTCAGAGAATTTTATCCCATGTGATAAATAAGCCATTCTGAATTATGTTTATTTATATTTATCATCTGTAATAAATTATGGAAAGGGACATGACAATGAAATATTCAAATCCCATAAAAGTTGCAGAATATTTTGCTTGTAATCCAATCGACTAGTCTTTGTACTTTAAAATTTCTCTCTTCAGTTTCTGTTGCCTGCCACTTATTACTCAACAAGTGCTTTCCTGCCATGGCGGTATTAATAAGACTTGATAGTGAAACCAAAACTACTTTAACTTACCCCAGAATTGTCGCCTGCCCACGCTAGGGCCATGCTCGCTTTGGTTTCATTCACAAACTGGTGCTGAAAACAAATCGGAATAAATCTAAACATCAATTATACATACATTGTGTGCCATTTCCCAACCATAGGCCCTATTGGCTGGCAATATCATATCAAGTCTGTCAGAGTTATATGCTTCAGGAATGCATGTTAACCTAAGCCCACGGCTGTGAAACTTCCGCAATAATCTGAATCTGAATATGTAATAATAAATGAAAAGCACTCTCATTAAACTCCCATATACTGAAAACGCTAGAAAAATATATTTTACCGTGTTCACAAAGTCTGGAGTTGTAAAATCTAGCTGGTTTTTCTGCTGCTCACACGTCGTGTCCTCTGCATCACGACGAAATCGCTGATTTCTTCCTGGAAGGTTCAGATCATAATCTCTTTTCACGCGAGTCAACTCGTCTGTACTCCTCAAATAATTCTGCACCGATGAGTCTTTCATTTTTTGCGTCTTCTCCATATGAATGTCAAGCGAACAGCATTTCTGGATACAAATTATGTCGCATAATAAAAGCAAAACTAGTCCTCCTTCCTTGAACGCCATTTTACGGGTATGTTGTGACTAGTCACGTGAAACAGGTGGCTCAAGATGTCAGCACCATCTTGATATGCCATCCATGACGAGCCTTGATTTATTGATCTTTGCCTCTCTTTACTGTCATATATCTAGTCCATTTTTCGTTTTTCTAATGTTTGTGAATGTTGAACGATTTTAATTTCTTTTGGTGTGAATATGAATATATTGAAAAGTTGAAAAGTTAAAATTGTGTTAATATGTGGGACTCTCTTGGCAAGACAAGCTTAACAGATAAACAATTTTCGGGCAAAGGTACCCAAAATGTCACAAATAGCGAAACTAAAGGTAAAGACTGTTATATAGTCACTGTGCTTATCATTTTATGTTTTTATATGAACATTTAAGGTTACTTCGTTTTCATTATTGTCTTTATTTCTCTGCTTACGCAAGTTAGTTGCAGTGACCCAACTCCACGTGCACCTTACAGTAACACGAGTGTGACCATGAGTACCACAAAGTCCATGAATCATATTTCAGATTGTTTATCCTTGCTTGCCAAGTTTTTCAATTCACTGTTTTTATAACGCTCCAAAAGATGTAGTCGTTTTCTCAAAAAAAAAAAAAAATGTAACAAACTACATCAAGTTAAAGCCCTTAAAATTAATATTCAATGTGTTTTTAAACGTTTAAATATTTATAAATATTATAAGAATGCCACCATGTCTCATGCCTGCATACAAGGCCAGTCATTGTTTAGATTGTCTCATGTGCCCCCCGTCCACACCCACACACTTACACATGCACGCACGCATCGCACCAAGCCTGTAGCCAGCAATTTCAAAGAGAAGAGGGGGAGAGGGGATTTTTTTCTGAGAAAGTGGACTTTTTAAAGTCAAACTTTACTACGTGTACAAAAATGCCGTAAGTCATATATTACCTATAGCAAATATATTACGTCAGACTCAAAAGCTTCTTTTTGGTTAGCCCTTTAAATCCTTTCAAGTTTGAGATGAGTCTATACTGTACCGGTACATATAATTTAAAGCTGTGTTCACAGTGTAGTTATTGTACTAGCAAGATCAATCTACTTCAGTGGGGATTCTCACTAAGGGGCAGTCAGTGTAATCAGCACAATTGTCTTGCATGCCTCCTCATAACTTAAAGAACTTAAGGAAAGTCGGGGAAAACTTTGTGGTGCATGATGTTGTTCATGGTGCTTTGCGAGGGGGCATGCCAGACAATTAAGCTGATTCCATGACTGTGAAAATCCCCACTGAGATAGATCAATCTTGCTATTATAATAACTTCTGTTCTGAACACAGCCTACAATTCTTACTCCTTCCCCCCCCCTTCCTAAAAAAGTACCTGTATGCAACAGTTAAGACATGCAATGCAATAGTAAGCAAGCTCTCCCTCTTTCCCCCAGCAAAATCATCTGTGCACAGTGATGGATTTTAAGCCTGATCAATATGTTATTCATGAATGATCCTCATTGTTATGTCTATCAGGGAATGGTTGCCTTGGTAACAGGTGGGGCTTCTGGTCTTGGCTGTGGGACAGTTCAAAGGTTTATTCGTGAAGGTGCCAAAGTTGTCCTTGTTGACCTCCCTAGTTCCGATGGGAACAAGATTGCTGAAGATCTTGGCAAGCCATGTGTCTTTGCTCCTGCAGATGTAAGTTTTATTTAAATTTTTTTATTATTATTATTGAATTATTAATTGTGCTGCATGTTCCAGCTAGGTGAAAATAAAGTAGACTTCATGTAACCTGTAGGCTTGAATTTTCATGGTTTAACCATTCCTATGATATGTACTATATGTGCTAATAAATGGCATGAGAAATATGCATAACTTACGCTCATACGTAATATGATTTATTTTAAGATACTAGTATGCTTTCATTGGGCCGTATGCATAAAAATGAAGCAAATATAGCAGAAGCAAAATGTAAAAGCATATGCTTGAAGTTAAAAGTAAAAGTAGAAGCATTCACTTGGTTTGGTATGCATAATCTTTCACTTCAAGCCCCTTTAATACACACTGAAATTGGGGAATTCAGTAGCTCAGAAACTGGGTTATATTTTATAGGCACACTAAGAATGGAGAAACTAAAAGCCTTGATGATGTGTAGTAACCCCATGCCATATTATTTTGAGTGTACTTCTTTTTGGTAAATAGGAAAAATGACAAAATGTCAAGACTGACCCACCTATGCACTATATTCATACCCCAACCCATCTACCCCACTCACCCCATGCACCCCACCCACCCCACCCTATGCACCCCATGCACCCACCCCGTGGCACTAGTTCGGCCATGGCAGATTTTGTAGAACCAGTTTCCCTTTCAGGTCACCTCTGAGAGTGACGTTTCTGCAGCTGTGGAGATGGCTAAGAAAGAGTTTGGGAAACTCGATGTTGCTGTCAATTGTGCAGGCATAGGGATTGCCATCAAAACTTACAACAAGGGAAAGGCAAGACCGCATTCACTGGAAGCATTTGAAGAAGTTATAAAGGTAAGCTCTGTGATACATTTTGATTCATGACAAACCAGTATCTCTGTAGTCTTTAAATTAAAATCGTGTTTACTTTATCATGTAATGAAGGATAACATTTATTTTACATTTAGGTGGATGGTCTAAAAAACAATAATTATCTGCAATGAAATTGACTGATACATGAAAAATGTAAACGAGTGACAAGTGGAAAAGGCAACCATAAAATGTATCTTAGGATGAAATCGAATTTGATTCTTCAGCAAACACTTGGTTTCAATAAGGAGTTTAAGAATTGGACTTCCAGTATCACTTTTTTCTTTCAGCCGCAGTTAACTGCATATTTAAAATTTAAACACAATCACTGTGAAAAAATGTTTTCATTTTTCATTTCTGTGATCAAAACAGCTGTAGTTTCTAAATGTTTTTAATGGATAAAACAAGATCTGCTCAGGGGTAAGTAATCTTTTCATTTGCTTTCAACCACAACAACCCATAACCACATTAAAATTATTTCAGGTCAACACTGTAGGGACATTCAATGTTTGCCGCCTTGTTACAGGATTAATGCTTGACAACGAACCTACAGTCGATGGCCAGAGAGGTGTTATTGTGAACACGTCCAGTGTGGCTGGCTATGAGGGTCAAACTGGACAGGTGGCGTATTCGGCCAGTAAAGGAGGGATAATAGGGATGTGTTTACCGATGGCCAGGGACCTGTCTCTCTTGGGGATAAGAGTCGTTACCATAGCACCAGGTAATACCCAATTCAATGTAAATGGTGTTAGTAAATTTGGTTTAAGAGAAAACTTTAATTTTGTTTTTTTTTGGCTGAAATATGAGACATAAACCCTGGAGCATTGTCACAGTACTGTCAATTTAAAGTCTCTTTATTCTTTTTTTTTTCTCTGTTTTATTGATTATTTATTTGAATATTTTTTTCAGGTTTATTTAAGACGCCCCTCTTGATGAAGTTACCAGATAAAGTCCAGGATGTTCTTGCCAAGAGTGTGCCATTCCCACCAATGCTGGGAGACCCAGATGTTTATGCTCACATGGTTCAGTGCATAGTAGAGAACCCGTACCTGAATGGAGAGACTATACGTCTGGATGGTGCTCTGCGCATGATGCCTTAGTGAAATTAATGTACGCTGCACCTGGGGTGGCACTAGGATTTTTTAAAAATTTTTAGAAAAAAGGAATCAAATTAGGTTTATAAATTTTAGAAGCAGCAACTGCACATCGAGATTTTTTGGACGAAAAACAAGACAGAATCATGTTATCCAGTGGGTTTTTGGCAGATCATGTGAGTTGAAGAACCTTTGCATCAGTGTTTATTACAAATCCTCACTTCTGGTTATATATGTGGAAGAAGGTTACAGAAGGCAGAGTGCATTTTCTGCTTTGCAACATCACAGAATGCAAAAGGATGTAATATTTTGTCATTTTATCTCCTTTTTTAGTATTTGAAAATCATCAAGTATAAATCTCAAATGATCTGTGTGCATTGAAATTATTTAAATATTTTAATTGATTGCGTAAGATTATAAGAGGTAAGAACAAGTGTAATAATTAAAAATAATTGTGGTTTGCTAGAATTTGTATGTGACATCTGTTAAGAAAACAAGGCAGCAAAATTATCAAATGTACAGAGATTAATAAATAAAGATTGATCAAAGACACCACATAGCTTAATTTTGATTAGGATTAAAAATTAGAGTTACAGTGTGGGGGAATACTGCAAAGTACCAAGGGTTGTTTTTTTTATCTTTCTTTACTCAAACCTTACTAACTGAATAAAAAACTGCATATAATAGCAATGCATCAATTGGAAAATATCTGCATACACAAAAAGCTAGATTTATCACTTTCTCTCACCAGAGTTTTAGATAAAGTAGATTTTGCTAATGTACAGGGTGGTGAAAATAATAATAATAATAATAATAATATAGATAAATAAATAAAAAAGGGGTGGGGGTCCATTTCTGGTAAAGAAGCATTTTGTGTTGAAATGGAAAGGAATAGGAACAGTTGGTCAAATTCTTGCTCTTCTTGTGATGTGTCTGTACATAAAAAATTATAGGTTGCAACCGTAAATTTCTGTCTTGTTAACTTGCCACAAATTTGGGTGTGTTAATCTGTTAACCTGATTGCATTCAGCGAGAATCCCAACGGAGTTAGTTTGAAATCTGATACAAAAGTTTCATTGTGAATACAACTTACTGTATATGCTACCCTCTACCAGGGTACGTGGCATTATATATAGCCTTTAGGGAAATCTTGAAAAAGCCACCCTGTGACCTTTGGCCAGATGGAAGCAATTAAATCTGCGAGCGTGCAGATGGCATTGTACCCACTCTGTAGGGAATTACTACAGGACATTTCTAAGATTCAGATTCTTTAATTGATAAACACCTTCACATACAATTAAGGTACAATCAATGACTGCACAACTAACTATGACAAAGCACAAACAAACAAGTACAAAAGTTAACTTCAATCTGAAGTAAAAGCTATTCGTAAGGGGTTGTTTTTGTTTGTTACAAAAGAGCAAGTGAATAAAATCGGAGCAATTAATTGTATAGATTGCTGTCAAGGGGACTGGGCTTGGGCTTGTTAATTAAGTGGCAGTGCCTGAGCAGTTATGCAAACAATTGCCAGCCATGTGATCATCATTGAGATTTCATCACAACGTGACAGAGAATGGAATGACTACCTTTTTATCTAAAGACATATCTATGAATAAAAAAATCAATCTGTCGGCCTGATAATACTGAAAGCACCCATACGCTTTTTCTGTTTCACCCAATCGCACTTTATTTATCGGTTGTGTTAGTTGAGTATGAATTAATGCGCAGGCGCAGAATTTACTTCCGAAAGAGGCCAAAATGGCGTTGAGGCTTTTAAGGTCGGCATCTTCTGTCACAAAAACGCTCACTGGACGACAAAAGGTAAATATATTATGATGTAAGACAGTCAGATATTATCTTTGTAATTTTTTTGCTTGAATATGTCGGTGAAATCTAGATGCATTGGAAGACGGGGATATTATCAATTCAACTTTTCAAGACCATCGCCCGACTTGACTCGAGCCGTGGTGTTGTCACGTTTTCCATCGGCTGCACTTAAGATGCTTGCCCAGTGAGGATAACGTCGAACAGTTGTTTTTAAACTCTTTTTCAGTTGACTGAAACGTATTGCAAACCTTATTGGAAATGGCACATACGATGAAGAAATGTTGCGGACGTCATTGTTATGGATACTCCAAGGCAAAAGCAGTATTCATTAGGTTATCAACTCTTACCCAAAAATTACATAGTATCGTTAACATTGCCCCTTACCAACTTACTTGGTAAAGGATTTTAAATATATATATACCTATTTCTCCTCAGCTTCCTGTGTGGTGTTTGGCAAGCAGCAGGACTTTTTCAGCACAGCCAGAACTTGTCCTTAATGTGCCAGAAACCAAATTGACCCAATTGCCCAATGGTTTCAGAGTAACCTCTGAAGACTCTGGTCTTCCCACCTGTACGGTAAGTCTCTTAGGACTCGGCTCTTCTCACCTGTGTGGTAAGTGTTTAAGCACCTGGTCTTCCCACCTGTGTGGTAAGTGATTTGTGCTTAATGTCATGTTGGTTTTCATTCAGTCAAGTCTCCATGTAGCTTAAGCAGTAGCTAGTGCTTGGGCACTCATATTTTCAGCTCTAAACTTCATTTTCTCAGAAAAACCACGGCTTAGTTTAATTTTCAAGACTTAAAATTTAAGTCTGTTTGACCAAAGATGAATCTGTAGTAGTCCTATGGGATAAAAGATTGTGTTTGTTTTTTTAACTAAAAACAACATGGCAAATGTTATAGACCAACTAACTTTAATTGACTGTTATTGATTAATACGAAAAAGTTATGACCAGTTTCCCACGTGACATTACACCGATGGCTAGCCAATCTCAAAAGTCTGACTTAAGCCCAAATATATATGAAAATATGAAATGCTTGCAGAAATGCGATTTCGATTACCAATCTTTGTTTAACTTTTTATTTAGGTGGGTCTTTTCATTGATGCTGGCAGTCGTTATGAAGATCCATCTAATAATGGAACGGCACACTTTTTAGAACATCTTGCTTTCAAGGTAAATGTAGAAATATTTTTAAGACATATAATGCATGTTGGTTCTTTATTTATAATAAGAAATTCTTTGAAATATATTGCACTTTTCCTTTTATCACAAAGGTGCGCTCTATTTAATTTTTTTTCTGATTATTTCAGTTTCTCTTTTTCACCGTTTTAGTTTAGCACATAGAACAGTAAATTTTAATTCTGAGGACTTGTGCTTCATGTTAGGGTCTTTTCTGAATATAGGAGTTCATTTTATCTATCAGTATGTACATCCAAATATTATATATAATAGAGTGGCTTGGTGTGTTAGAATCAGGATCTCAGAGTTCTTTATTCTTGCTTGGTGTTTGGTTAAACTTTAGGGCATGCAGTCCATGCAGCTTTGATAATGTAGATGTGAGTTGGAGGATTGGTTCCTTGTCCAAACACACCAAAGTTCATCACAAAGCCAGTGGTAGTGATATGTGATGGTCGCATGTTTATACGGATGTTACCACCATGCCTAAATTAAAAAAAAAAAGAAAATGATATGTAGAAATAATACAAATAAATCAATAAATTAATTAGATGATAAAAATAAAATATAATAAGACTTCTTGATATGTTTTGTCAGCTCATTATGTTAAATATATGAAACATTTCATACAAACAGTGAAGAATTAAGTTGACTCCTTTGGTATATACTATATTTATAAATATATATGTACTTGTATGGTAATTATTTACAAATTTAGAATTAATTGCCATTCTATTAAATTCTGACTTACATTCTTTTATGTGCTATGTATTTTTACTGATATATGTTGGTGTACATGATAACATAAAGAGAACACACCTTACCAGGAATCGAGTAAAGAGATAGCAGTCACAACATCAGGGGAACTGGCAAATGGCTTCTTGAAAGTGACATGTTTCAACCACTCGCAGTGTGCAGCATCAAGTTTACAATAATTTGATAACACTGATCCAATTTGACCTTCAGAGGTTAAAGAAGGGATAATTGACATTTTTCACACCACTGTTGGATTAGATATTTTGATATTTGCAAAGGGTTTCTTCATAATCCTCTTAAATCTACATTGGTATAAACTTATTCAAATTGTTGAAATTATCTTAAGCCAGTAAAAACTTTAAATCATTTAAATCACATGTAAGGATTATAAAGTGGGGTTTACTAAGAAGAAAATAATAATAAAAAATAATAAAAATAAAAAATAAAAAAGACATAAGAAGTGCATGAGTTTGCCAATCTCTTGAATTGAAGTAAGACCGAAGGTCTTTTCAAATTGGAGAAAGTGTGACAAAATATGCTATGTCCATTTCTGCAGATTTTTAAACATTAAAATATTATTGTTTTAATTTGCATTTAAGCAGAGCACAGTAAAAAGGACATAACCAAGGAAAAACCTAACTTGATAATGGGGAAACTGCTTAAATGTTTTCTTTTATCTGCTTTAGTGGACAATCTTGAACCCTTCGTCGCATTTGTGTGGGATATAATAAAACAAAAATTAGGAAAAATTCGCATCCAGTTACGAGTCCTGCAGTGTGCCTTTTTTTCCAATGGATAACCTTGGGTGTAGGTGTTCAGGTATAACAACATTAAGAGAACATACGCGGAAGACTTGCTCATCATTGGTGTCTTCATCTCTACTCAAGTCCGCATATATTGTGCCCAGTAGTTTTCTCTTGTTTATTTAAATGTTCCTGCCGTGCAGATGATGTAAATACGTCTATTTGAAAGCAATTGATAACATCACAGTAACAGGTCTTGTTTCCTAGAAGTCATGAGTGACGGGTTTGGATTTGTATTACACAGTTGAGTAAACTGAACAGCAGTGATAGATGATACAATCTTGATGACGAATCTGATTTCCTTAAATTCCGTGGGTGTTGCCACATGATTAATTCAGCTTAGACAATTTGAATGGTTTGACTTGCACACTTATACAAAGATGTCTTCTGTGTCAAAATTATATATCTGAAATGGAACAAGCCAAAATTTCATAGAAAAAGGAGTGACATTTGATTAAGATGAAATGGTTTAAAGTCTGTACTAGGTTAATGTTTTAGACAACAAGATGATGCCCTTCATATGGAATTATTAATTCTAAATGATCCAGGATTTTAAACTCAATGGGGTTAATTATTGCTAAGGGCTGGCTTTAATAGTAATATTTGTTTATATTTTTTTGATGCTTTCGTATTTTGAATTACGAAACATTATCCATATGATTTTGTCTTAAAAGGCCCAATGATGATTAGTAGTTAAAACACACACACGTCCATGAGTGTATGATTGCATATACAGAGGAAAAACAAATGAGACCTTACTAGGGAGCAAGTACAGAGATCTTGGTCACAATATCAGATGGACTGGCAAATGCCTTTTCAAAATAATAATAATAATTATTATAATAATAGTAATTTTTCAACCACTGGCAGTGGCTTTGACCAAAATTACAATATTAGTCTAGTAATTTGATGCCCCAAAACCAATTTGAACTTTTAGTGAAAAAAAAAGAACTTATTTAATGACGCTTTGATAGTTATTAACCTTTTTACATCACTGGCTAAGTCAGGATTTTTGCAGTTAGGAATGGATTGACCATAATCATCTGAGGTCTACTTATGCAAAGTATTTGCAGAGCATTGAAATAACCTTAAACCACCAGAAATGTGAAAATTTGCAAACCACATGATTGCTAAGTTAAAAAACTTTGTGAAAGCTGACCGATTCCTTATGGTTCCATCCTCACCAATTTTTTCTTATTGGTTTTCTGACTAACAGTCTCCCCAACTACCAGACTCGGCACCAAAGGATCCCAAAGTCGCTGGTATATTGGACCACACTACCTGTTTCAAGGTGTGCATCAGTACACATTTCACGTATCATACCTCTGTACAAATTTTGAGATGAGATGCACTACTTTCCAACCCTGCTGAGAATCATCACTATCACATTGCATACAAGGCAAGAGCAGTGTTGCGTCTGACACTTCTAAGAGCGTACTGACGCACACCTTAATAACGAGTAATGTGGTCCGATCTACTGGTGAATTTAGGATCATTCATTGCTGAGTCTGGTAGTTGGGTAGGACTGACTAAGCCAGCCTCTAGACCCCTGATATTAAGGTCACTGAGTCAATTTCTTCATTCTATATTGCTTACAATCCAAAATCATGTCTGAGATAAGAAAAACAAAAACTAATGATGGTGGTCATATCTTTTATTCAAATGCTTTCTCATTTCGAGAGAGAGAGTAAGCAAAGAAAATCGACTTTATTCTAAGGACACTTGTCTCAGCTTAGATTCATTACTGAATATGATTGTTCATTTTATCCATGTCTACATCCAAATATTTCAGTGTCTCTGTGTAGAAATTCAATTTGGTGTCCAATTCTTGCTTGGTTAAACGTCTTAGAGGCAGGCAGTCCATGTGGCTCTGACCCGGTAGATGTGGCCTCTGGTTATGGGTACCACACCAAAGTCAATGTCAAAGCCAGCAGTAGTGATAGTTGTTAGGACAGGGTGCACTCTTATGTTGATGTTACCACCATTCCAATTACTAATTATTTGCATGTGAAAAAATGTTGGAAAAAATGGTTAGAAATGTTTAGACAACAGGACATGCATATATGAATCATTTCGAAGTAACAGTGAGGATTAGACTTAATTACTAAATGCATTTATGAACGAAGATTCAGAGATGTCACATGACCCAAAAGATGCATCAAGTGGCTTAATAAAACATTATTTCAAAGTTGAATAACTTCAACAGTTATGAAGATATTGTAATGGAATTTGGAATATTCTTCTAGAAAAATTATGCTTTTTAATAAGTGCTAAAAATTTTATGATGGTACCTTTCTTAGTTTTGGACACCTAAAAAACTTAAATTTTGAATTAAGAAGTGGCATGCTAACATGACATAATGGCTGAACTAGTGTAGGCACATTTGTTTCTATAACTTTTTAATGAATATATTGTCTCTTATCATTTGGTATCAATACAATAAGAACTGTGGAAAATCAAAAAAAGTGGAAAGTTGGGTAGAACCTATGGCTCCCAACTTATGGATAATATTAGTAGCATTTGATTTGTAGGTACTTTTAATAAGAAATCATTTTAACATGCCATGTCATCCAGAATACTTCAGATTTTGATTGTCGTAAATTTTGTAGTTATGTTATTTCTTTCTCTTTTTTTTTTTTTTTTTGATAGAATATGTAGAATTTAGAAATGGTAAGCATGAGGATGTTCCTCGATTGAAATACCTACACATGTCCATGATTGCTAATTGCATAGAGGAAAACAAATGAGGTCTTACCCAGATTGGAGTCCAAAGATAGCTGTCACAACCTTAGGTTTTCTGGGAAATGCATTGTCAAAAGTGACAGGTTTTACCCACTGGCAGTTGGATCCTACTTGGCAAAATGCTGATACCACAGTTCCAATTTGACCTTCAAGTGACAAAACAAAAAAAGAGATCTGAGAACTACATTTTGCAAATACAAATAATTCCATGGATAAGAATTGACCAAAAACCACCTAAAATTTGTAATAAGGCAAACCGCATGTAAGTGTTGTAATGGGATTGCCTAGATTACAATAAAAAGCCAACAATGTAGTGAAGTTCTTGCATACCCTTTGTCCTTCCCTTAATGGAAACAGAAAATCTCTTGAAAGAGGAAAATGTGACAAAATGAACTTAGACTACATCAGCAGATTGAATTTATATAAATTTATTTCTTCTTTCTTTTATAAAAAAAATCATTTTGCCATTTTTATCATACAGCAAAAAATTGTAAAGAGCCCTAATTTGATGACAAAGAAACACTGTTAGTGTATTTCCTGTTTTCTGATTGATACTTCAGAACCTTTACACCCCATTTCCATAGATTTTTAGATCAATCTATCCCTGTGGGGAGTCTCACTAGATTACTGTCGGCTTGGCCGGCTTAAGCGTCTTTCCCGCCTACTGAAAGCTGTAAGGGGGTAATTAACTATGGTGCCCGCTCAGCTGGCTACAATTTAGCGTGAACCCCCAGGGAGTTAGATCGATCTAAATCTCTGGGAAAGCACCCTTTTGTCACAATTGGGATATGATAAAGCGAGACTTATAAAAAACTCACAATATCCTGCGGCGTATGAGCCCAGAGAGAGCAGCAACAGGAGACAGGAAATGGAAGACATCTTGGTCATCGTTGGCACCTTCACTTCAGCTGAAGACTGGAGGCAGTATGCCCTGTGGTAGCTGTTGGTCTTTATTTATAGGTTTCTTTTGTGCAAATTATTTGAATCTGCTTATTTGTGAAATTACAATTACAAAAGTTTTTGTCTTGTTTCATGTAATTTATAGCAGGTACTTGTTTATTTATTTTTTCTCTTTTCGAAGTATTTGTCTATTTACAGTAATCTGGATAACATGGTGACAGTCTGTAGGGACGTTTCAAGGACTAAATTAAAAATAAAGCGTGATAGGGAGGTGCCTTAATGAAAAAATCGTGACAAGACAGATAGGAATACATTTGAATGTGAAGTGGCTTAGCATAAAGAATTGTCAAATCGTGACAAGTCAAGTAAAGTTCATTTGAATCTGCTGTCTATAGTGATGTTGATTTTGTTTAAAAAATGTTCAAATCGTGACATGGTCTTAATAAGCACCAAATTTGGCATGCAGTTTCCTTCTGACATGCTTAATCAAATTCGCCACTTAACCCTCTGGAAAAGTACAGGGTTAAGTTAAAAAAAAATAGGGGATTCTACAGAAAAATACATTTATTGGTAATTTATCATCTAATTTCATTTGTATTCTTTTGAAAACGGGTTAAAAAAAGTTTGTTCCTTGCCATTTATGATGTGAAAAACCCTGAGCAACGAACTTGATATGATAACAAGTGATGTAGATACTGTATGTATATTTCCAGAGAATCTCATAAATTGGTGGTCATATTGGAATTTTTTACCAAACGGAGTAATTTTGAGAGAGCTACCAGTCTAATGTGATGAAAAATGCCAAGAAAAATTTAATTTTTCTGGTTTGAGATATCTTGATCTTGTTTTCAGACCCACGTACACTTTTAAAATCTGCATTGAGAGAAATACCATACATAGTTGCAACTTAAGGAGTAGATTTATTAATAAGATGCAACGTGCCTTGATTCAAAATGCTACACCTGATTGTGAAAAGGGTGCATATCATGAAAGTAAAATGTGTAATCATACTACTACTCGGGTAATGACTCA